CTTCCGGAGCCCCTGGCGGTCTCCTCGCGCCCCTTCCGCCTCGGGGTACGTTCCCCCACCTTCCCCCTGCGGCGGTGTTGGGGCCGAGCTCCCTTACGCCTGCTCAAAGTGGCCCCTGACTCTCCCAGGATGCCCTGCATATCTATCTTTCCTGCTACGTGGTCTTTCTGACCCAGCCCGGACACTCGCCTAGGCACTGTGCAATCCCTTCCAGGCCAAGGTGTCTCACGGGAAGCATGGACACTGCTCCTGGGCTTGGAAGGTGTGCGGGTCTCCAACGGGGTGTAGGCAGACTTGTCCTGACCCTGCCAGGGGTCGGGTAGTGAGTTCGATCTAGGTGGCTGGGAACTACAGCAGGATATGCCTAGACTTAGAGGTGAGCCCTGATCCCCTAACTGGAGGCAAAGTGCCTCTGATGTTGACTCCGCTGTGCCTACTCTTTGAAGACTCCAGAGGTAGTGAGTGCACACTTAGGTTATCTCTTAGCCAGGTGGTAAACGCCTGTGATCCCAGAACTTGGGAGGCTAAAGCAGGAGGACTGGCAAACATTTAAGGCCATCCTGGGCTATACAGAGAGTTCTAGGCCAGTCCGCACTACATAGCAAGACCCTGTCTCAAAAGCAAAACAAAACAAGCAAACAAACAGCCCCCCTTTACAGATGAGCTATCTCAAGCCACATACTTGGGCTTGGTGCCAGCTGAGACAGGAGGAGTTCATGCTGGGCAAGCGCTTGACTGCTGAGCTACCTCCCCTGACTTGCATTTTCTTCATTCATCTTCATGATCATCCAGGAGGGATGTCCCAACGATAAAGAACCCTCCATGGTCACACAACTTGGAAGTAGCTAGGGAGAGATTCAAACCTGCAAGATTCTGCCTCCAGAATCCATACATGTCCTGTTTCTAACTTGCTCCAGCTCAGGGTCAGCTGTGAGGACCCCTCTTGTCACATTTCTCCAGTCTTTCTCACACTGCAAAGCTGCAGGCAGAGAGTGGTCCGACAGAGAGGCACCCAGGATGTGGGAGACTTGACCAGCTGCCCTCGGCCATACCTTGGGAGCACAGCCCACTCTTTGGTCCGGCCCATGAGTGCCTAGGTCTTCTGCTTCCCCGAAAGACAGAGCCAGAGGCCTCTGAAGTCCACATGCTATCTCCCTGCAGACAGCGAGGCTAGACAACCTCCCACAGCCTTTTAAGGGACACAGTAGTGGGTGATTCAATGGCTGGAGCCATTGAACTCCAGCAGACTTTCAGCTTCTTTTGGCTGCCAGGCCCTCCCTGTCCTCATCTGTAAAATGTGTTTCTAATGCAGCCCTCTTCTGCTCTGTGTGAACCCCCAGAATTATCTGAGCACCCATGTCTTCCGTGTGTCTGTTCACTAAAGTGAGAAAACACGATGCTCAGAACACAACAGAGCAAGAAACCATGGTTGTTAATGCACTCGTTTTAGTCTGAGTCCCTTTTTTTGTTTGTATGGGTTTTTTTGTTTTTGTTTTTTGTGGTTTTTGTTTGTTTGTTTGTTGCAGTACCAGGGATTGAGCTCAGAAACCTTGGGCTTTAGAGGCAGGCATGGCACCACCGAGCTAAATTCCTGGCCCTGTTTTTATTGATTTTTCTTTTCTTTCTTGCTTGCTTTTTTGATATGAGAAATTGAACTCAGGACCTTGTGCTCGAGAGACAGGCAGTGGTGCCAATGAGCTAAATCCTGAGCCCACCCATTTTTATTTTTTGAGACAGGGTCTTTTTACGTAGCTCAGGCTGGCCTTGAATTCCTGGAGATTCTCCTGCCTCAGCCTCCCAAGCGCTGGGATTTTAGGCATGTATCACTATTAAATTCCTTTTTCCTGGTGAGAGAAACTAAGGTCTTTAAGGCGAGGATTTTGCTGAGGCTGGGTAGAGCTGTCCTGTGGAGATAGGACAGGCATTACTTGTACTCCCAGAGACTCACCCTGGATGCCTCACGGCAAGCAGAAAGCATTAGAAACCTGGGTTTCCGTCCAGGCCCTGCTGTTTGGGGGCTGAGTGCTCACAGCTGGTTGCTTCTAAACAATGCATAGGGCCTAGGAGTGGAGGGACACAATCCCAGGTAGTGGCAGCTCTGAGGTCTGTGCAAGATCTCATCTAGGGTTTGGCCTCGACCTTCACAAGCCTATTCCAGACCCCTGACTCAAAGTTCTCTGACTCTGTGTGTGTGTGGCTCCCCCACACCGGGATTGTCAACCTCCCCCTGTACAAAAATAACAGTTCCATTGAACCAGCATTTACTATGTGCTGTATTCTGTGTCATTATTTTTATTATTATTATTATATTTTGGTACCCGAAATTGAACTCAGAACCTTTCTTGCCAGGCAGGCATAGCACCACAGAACTAAATCCCCAGCCTGGTTTTTTTTGGTACTCGGGACCTGGCCCTTGCAAGGCAGACGGTGGAACTACTGAGCTAAATACCCGCCTCTTCTATTATTATTGTTGTTGCTTTTACTCAAAGACTTCAAACTGAATTACATCCCCAATCCCCAGTCCATTTTTAAATCTTTTGTTTTGAAACAGGGTTTCACTAAATCACCCAACCTGGGCTTGGAACTGCCATCCTCCAGGCTCAGAGCCCCAGAGTGCTGGGATTACACGTGTACCACCATGCCTGTCTTATCTATTTAAACCAGTCCATTTATTTATTTTCAGGCAGAATCTCACTTTGTAGTCCAGGCTGGCCTTGAACTTACTCTACAGCAAAGGCTGTCCTCAAACTCATGGAGATCCTCCTGCCTCAGCCTCCCAAGTGCTGGGATTATATAAGCCAATTTAAAGATGAGAAGTCTAAAGCCCCATTGAGTATCAAGAGTTGGTTCAGGGGCTGGGGATTTAGCTCAGCGGTTCAGTGGCCTGCCTCGCAAGCATAAGGACCCGAGTTCAATCCCCGGTACCCCCCTCAAAAAAAAGAGCTGGTTCAGGTACATCTGATACTTGAGTGGGTTCCACTCAACCTCTCTCTCTCCTCTCTCTCTCTCTTCTTGGTTATCTTGCACACACCCACAATCCCAGTACTTGGGAGGCTGAGGCAAGGAAGATTGCTGTTAGTTTGAGGTCAGCCTGGGCTACATAGTGAGTTCAAGGCCAGACTGGATTACACAGAAAGACCCTGTATGAAACAGTTTTTTTTTTTTTTTTTTAATGACAAGGGCTGAGAATATAGCTCAGTGCAAAGGCCTTTGGTTAAATCCCTGATACCACAAACTAACTAGTAGAAATCGTGTCTGGGTGGGCCACTGAGCTGGTCTCTTGCCCTGGCAGCTGTGGCCCAGCTCCGCGCTCACGGTTTCCCTTTGCAGCTGGCCAGCCCCTCCCCACCTGCGCTGCATCTGCCTCACCCAATCCTTGCTGTGGCCAGGGAGGCTGGCCGTGCCCCCGCTGGCTCAGGAAACCGCCCAGGGCCACACAGGGACTTGTGTCCAGGTTTATGTGGCCCAAGACTGTGCCGATAGTCATAACCCTCAGCCTTGGGACAGGCGGCCGCTGCCTTCTGAGAGCCCCGCTGCTGTTGGCAGCGACACAGACCCATCTCTCGCCTTCTGGCACCTCCGTTTCTCTCCCGCTCGGCCCACTTCCGTCACTCTCTTCCCTTGGCAGCCTGACGCATGAGCCTGTCCTCAGACTCACGAGCACCGGTGAAATGACCCATTGTCCTGACATTCGGCCATAGCTCTAGGGTAGGGGCCAATTCTCCGACTGTTATTTATTTATTTTTGGTACCAGGGATCGAACTCGGTCCTTGCATTTGCCAGGCAGGCGCTGGAACCACGGAGCTAAATCCCCGGCCCCCTCCAAGTGTTTAATGAGCACTCGGATTGGTCGGGGCGTAAATTAGGGAGCCAAGCTATGTGTTCATTTCTTTTCCTTTTTTTGACCCACGGTCTTGCTGTGTAGCCCAGGCTGGCCTTGAACTCACGGCGATCCTCTTGCCTCAGCCTCCTGAGTACTGGGAGTACAGATGTGCGCCACCGCGCCCATGCCCAGTTTTGCAATGTGTTATGTGCTTTATTTGCAAAGTACAGAGAGGAAGGAAGGAAGAGGAGAGAAGGAAAAGCGGCACGAAGTGAGGAGAGAAGACGAGAAGGGCAGGTGGGAAAGAGAAAGGAAAAGGAGACCTGTAGGTCAGCAGATCTAGGGCTTGGTTTGACCCTCACAGCCCAGAGGCGAACTTGGGCTTGAGCCTCTGGCGAGGCAGCCGGCTGAGAACGTGGTTGACAGCCTGCACCTCTGTCACCGGGCTGCTGCAGTGCTGACCGCAGAGGGCGGTGGGGTGTCGGCAAGGCGGGGTGCTTGCGCGCCCGGGGCCTCGGTACAGCCGGAGTGACTCGGCCGGGAAGCACGAATGGCACTTGGCAGATGGATATGGGGGCTGTCGGGGAAGGGACCAACAAAGGCACCCCGGGAAAGGGAGCCATGTGGACAAAAGCGGGGGATGTAGTGGGGCTGGAGCACTGCTTGTGCCAGGGAGGGAAGGGGTGTGTGTGTGCGCGCGCGCTCGTGAGCGCTGTAGCTTCAGGGTGGCACGGGGAGGCGAAGGCAGAGCCTTCCCAGCATGCTCCACATGGGGGCCTAAGTCCTCCAGCCTGGCTTTGCCGCTGGGTGACCAGGGCAAGCCTCTTTCCCAGGGCCTGAGCCTGCTTCTGTGGAACAGAACATCTTAGCATGACTCTGTGGTGCCAGGGAATTCTGCAGTGGGTACAGAAACCTGGTGCCCAGTTGGCTCTGTAAGGTGTGAGCGTCCGTGGCCTATTTCTCACCGCCCCAGAGGCACCTTCTTTCCTACCGCCTCACCTGCTAGGGAACTCCTTCCATCTCCGGCCTCCCCTCGGCTCTGGCAGGCCCTGCCAATCCCTTGTTGCCGTCTGGCATTTTTCTTAGTGCCTCCCAAGGAGGTTGTGAGCTCCCAGGGGGCAGATGCCCCCTGTGTATGTCCCACTCTGGACCTGGGCCTGAGGCCCAACGGTGAGCATTTGGGGCCCTGTGCTGGTTGGAGGAAGGAGCCCTCTCCATGTGGTGGGTTCGAGGAAAGGGCCTGGAGTTCCCAGGGAGGAGGAAGAGGTCCCTTCTGATAGAAAGCCTAGGAGGTGACCAGCTATGAGAGGAGGAGAACTGGTGTGACCAGAAGGCAGCCTTGTTCTAGGAAGCGGTGAAGGTTTTATTCTATTTTTTGGTACCGGGGATTGAACTCTGGTCCTTGTGCTTGTGAGGCAAGTGGAGGAACCACTGCGCTACATCCCCAGCCCAAGCAGTGAAGGTTTTAGAAGATGGGAGAGGCCCCACAGGCGGGACAACATTCCCATGGAGACTGGCTACATCTCCTGTGTGCTTTTTGGGTTTTTTTTGGTACAGGAATGGAACTCAGGACCTTGTGCTTGCCAGACAGGCACGGTGTCACCGAGTTATATCCCGGGCCCATAATTTCTTTGTTTTTGTTTGTTTCCCTGTGTGCTTGCATAGCAATGGCACCCTGAGGCTCAGAGCCTCAGCCGGCCACCTGCAAAAAGTGGGTACAATGGAGTTATCTTGCAGGTGGTGGTGAGGTTGTGCGAAGATCTTATAACTAAGTAGGCCCTGGCTTTCAGCCTCTCCCGTTCCCAGCTTTTACTCCCACTTTTGCACATTGGGGTCAAAGGTCTGGATTGTGCTTCCTCATTTGGCTTGGAATTTTCTTAGGGGAAGGGCCCCTCTCCCTTCGTGGTTCTCAACAAAAGGAAAAAGTTGCCAGGAAAGTTGTTATCCTTCCTGGATCTGGGTCCACGAAGGGTAGGCCCTGTGCCCACAGTAGAACCATGGAGTCAGGACCCTGGTTTTCTAGTTCCCCAAGACTCTAGGGAGCTGGCAGCATTTCACAAATGTTTGAGCAGAGTGCTGACACCATGGGGAGGGATAGTAATCCCCTGTTTTTGAAGTGGGTATAGTCTAAATACCTTTAGTGGGTGCCGGAAACTAGATAATAGTTGGTATTATTGATAGAAATGTTGTTAAATGGCATATATCCAAGTTTAACTTACAAGTTGGGCACAGTAAGAGAGCAACAGTACCTCATAATGAAATAGAGGAGATATAACAATATACTATAACAAAAGTTATTTAAACTGGGCATGGCAGTGCATGCTTGTAATCCCAGCACTCAGGGAGGCTGAGGCAGGGGGATCACAAATTCAAACCCAGCCTCCCGAGTGCTGGGATTACAGGTGTGAGCCACCACACTCAGCTAGAAAAACTCTTAAGGCCCAAATGTATCCCATAGCTGTGCCCTTCTCTTTACCTGCACTGCCACCTGTGGTCCAAACCGCCATGACCAAGTCTTGCCTGGATTATGGCTTCCAAGTGACTTCTGTTCCCTCTACCCAGCTGCACTACCCCATTCTCCAATCAGAGCACGTTCCTTAAAGGAACACCTTTGGCTATGTCATCCATACTCACGCCCACCAGAGGCCTCTCCCAGCACCTGGCGGAAAACTCTTCCCCTAGTGTTTCTACAGGACCCCTGTGTCTATCACCTGTAGGACTTTGTTCAAGTATTTGGCCTTCCGTATGTTGGTTTCCTGCCACATGGGAATCAGACTGACCTTGCACTCAATATGTAGTGCAAGCTGGCCTCCAATCTCCAGGAATCTGCCTCCGCCTGCCGAGTGCTAGGATGACAGGTGCGCCCCGCCTTCTGGCTCAGTGTCAGCTATTTTTATTTATGTTGTTTCTTCAGTGAATCTTCCCAGATCTCCCATTGAAAGGTAGGTCTCCACAATCACTTTTTCATCACCGATTTTCTTTCTTCACAGCATGTAGCAGTACCTGAAATAATTTTGATTATTCAACTATTTTATACAACCCATATTTGTTGTGCACCTACTACATGCCAGACACTTCGTACCTGCTATCGGAGCGGACGGCCCAGAAAGGCCAGGTCTCTGCCCGTCTGGTTCACCCGGGTTCAGCCACGCCTCGCCCGCGCCGCGACCAACACAAAG